TGTGTGTGGGTGGGTGTGCATATGTGTGTGTATTCTGAGAAAGCAAGAGCTGTGCTATGGGTGTGATATGCATGCATGTATATACAGAATATGTGCATATTTCAGCACAGTATGCGTGAAATGTATCCATTTCTGTATGCCTGCTTGTGTACGTGTTTATAGATTTTTATGTGTGTGTGTGTGTGTGTGTGTGTCTGTTAGCCTTAGCCCAGATGTGTTTTACATCTAAACAACATTTGCATTTAGAGCACTCTAATCTTCCACTGTTAACCTCAACCTCGGGCATGTAACAGATTGATAAATATTTTATAACTTGGTTCATTTTTGTTGCTGCTCCAAAGCATCAGCTGACATTCAGTTTGCACTGAGACAAAGCCAAAAATCTATCCACTGGAAAGAAACAACCAGAGCTCAATTATGACTCTCAGTAGATTTTCAGCACCTGCTAATTCAACGGTGCATTAAAGGCTGACTACAAGATATATCACCAGCTATCTATCATCCTGGAGGATTTTTTCTGAGACAGGAAACAAACCAAAATCCAGCAGATCAATACTACAGAAGAAGCACATAATGATCCATGGTGTGGGATCACAAAGGTGGGGTCCAGAGTTCTCCTTATTAATCACACCCTCAGGATTGTGGAGTTTACTGACCGTGGGCTCAATTTCAAAAAGAAAGGAAGGATTCTGGCAAATCATCTATAAAATATATCATGAGTGGCAATTCATCAATTTGGTCAAGCCTCTTTTCTACAAGGTTCAGCCTGAATGACAGACGCATTGTTGGTCATTAATGGCATCAACGCACACCTGAATGGTGCAACATGCTGATCAGACTATTGATGGAGGCTATACTTAGTTTGATCCTTGTCAGAAGCCTTTAAGCCTCCGGTCCTGTCTGGCCAGTATTTGATGTGTGTGCGAGATGAAAAGTGTAACCCCTAGCGTTGGCATTCATCGACTGTATGGAAAGGTGACAAAAAAAGAGGAAGAGATCGTTAGAAATAACTTACCCCGAGGATGACAGTGTCTTCTCTTTGAAATAATGGGATGAACTTATCTCCGCGGATAATTTCGGACTTGTTCAGAGGACGAAATCGACACAACACCTTGATATTGCATTCCGCGTTAGCATCAGCCATTGTGAAAAAATAAAGAAATAGTGGTCGCGCTTCCAAAAGATAAAGAGGGATTTCTTTATCTAAATGAAAAATAAAATATTCCCTGTGCAACCTTTTCCCGTAAAACCACCTGGACGCAGGCTGGAACCACCGGCTATACCCACATGCAAAGCGAGACTGGCAGGCAAAGCATTTGGGAGAATGGGCATCTACGAGTTTTGGGACAGACTACAGCCAAATTCATTAAAGAAATGTCAAACAAAAAAGGGAAAAAAAAAAGGAAGCCGTTTGAGAGTGTTTCTGGTTTTAAAATGCGCTCAAAGCAAACTCAGGTGCAGTTGAAGCAGGTGGAGAACAGATGGAGAGTTGTAAACGGGGAGTATATTCCAAACTGGTCCGGTCGGCAGTGTCTGGATAGGCTGCAGGCTCCTCAGAAGCATGCCTTGCATCACTGTCATCGCTGCTCTCTCACTGGGGGCGGGGCGTGCAAAAGTAGCGACTCAAATCCTCTCTCATCAGCACCACTGAGCACAGGGACCGAGGAGAGGGGAGGAGTTGAGCTCCAACTCTGCTTCTTATCCCCGCAGCCACAAATAAACTGGCCTCCACAGAAAAAGTTATCACGTTCACTTTAACTTGCTTTCATCTGGTGAGATATTTTCTGTGGCCAGTAGTTTTTGAAGAGAGTATCTGTCTGTCTGTCTGTCTTTTTTTTTTTTTTTTTTGTTCTCTCCATGTCTGCACCAGACTGGTCGTCATGGCAATGCTGTTTTGCATGACAAACTGGGTAGTCATGTGGGAACCAAAGGCTCCATAATGTTTGCCCTGGGATTTAAAGGGGTATGCCAGCGATGTAGCACTGATATCCTGACTTTAAAGCTTTTAAGCTTTCTATAAGGTCCAAAATCACTGGACACTACTTTACTTTTCCCAAAATGTTTGTTTGCCTTTCATTTACCCAAAAAACTCAGTTATAACGCCCACGCTTACTGTTATGAATTTGTGGTCTCAAGTCCAAAGTGAGATGCAAATATGTGAGAGGTTATTTTTTTGTCATACTTTAAAAAGCTACTCAAGAGCCACAGAAGACATCACACTCCTCATGATGAGTAAACAGACCGTCATGTGTAAACTTGGTGTAATGCCCCCTTTAAAAGATATCTGGATTTTGCCTTTTGGCCTAGTACAAGGCAAGGCAGTAAGAGTTGCCTACATAAAGAATGAATAAAACTCACAGTAAGCTTACATTTAAAATTAATTAAGTAGCATTTTAAATTCTAATGAGAAATGTCAAATAACCAAAAGGTTAGCTATGTGTGTATGTTCCAGGCTTTACTCCAAGAAATAGACCACAATGTCCATAATATTGTGCTGTAGTGCACTTGATGGTAAAGTTGCCACTGCTCTTTAGATGTGCTTGCTAACAATCGTTGCCTTTGATAATATGCTCCAGTGTGGAAGTAGCCTAAAGGTACAAATTAAATGATGTTTCGTCACCCAATCCAATCATGTGACTGGTGTAATAGACTAGTTATAGGGGAAATCATTGGCTGACAATGGAACAAACAGGGCTCAAAAAACAACTTGATTTCTCCATAAATATGTGACAGCTGGTCAGAGACATGTTTCCCCATTATTGTACAAAATACTGCAACCAAGCTCCCAGTTAAAATACGACTCTACTGATTACACTTTCTTTTCATGTTTGTTAAATGTAATGATAGGCTATATAATGTGCAGTATGTTATATATCTAGGCCTAGATACTGAGTGTGATAAACAGGAGGCGATCTTTTGAAAAACAAACATGCTTAACGAGAATATATTCCTATATGTTTGTAATTGTGGCAAAAGAACAAGAGAGTGTTGTTTGATTTGATTTGTTCTCAGGATTTTTTCTCCTTCAAAGATGTACTATATAGTTGTTTCTCCTCTAACATGGCCTTGAAAATGTCCACTTTATGTGCGGAGGTAAATACAAAGTAGTTAAAGCATTTATAGCATAAAATATTAGTAAATTAAAACAAGAAACATGCACGATCACACCTTAGATCACTACTTTCTGCACTTTAGATAAGGTGGATCATTTTTTCCCCCAACAGAGTGAATCATCTTATAAATGGACCATCTTTGGCCCATTGATTGAGTTGTTTGCTCGCACCTTTAGCGCCACCGTGTGACGACCTTGCTACAATTCAACCCCATATATACATTTTGAAAATAAAGACAGAATAATTTTGTTGTTAACGCAAATTAGTTGTTAAATACATTATTAGTGGGGCAGCAAATATTTTTGTTTCATGGTACAAAATCAAACAAACCGACGTTAAACAACAGAGAAGGGACCGTTAAACCGTATTGGTCCAAAACCACGCATGCGTAACGACGCTCCACTTTTGTCGGGTGTGTTTGTTTCGTTGGTCGTGGTCGGCCGTTCTCTGCGGTTCATAGGGCGAAAACGTCACCGCCCGCTCGCCTGTAAGAAACCCGACGTGCAGGCTGTCAAATCGAGCCGCAGCCAGTGACACACAGCAGACCTGGAGAGAAACCTCCGCCGGCTGAGAGACTGCTGGCTCATCTATCGTTAGCTTTTGTTACATTTCGATTCGGCTCATCGATAACCTACACGTTTTAACAACCGCTACCATATTCTATCGTGATTAATTGGTGTGGTCTTTGCTTCCCCCGCTGACAATGGCTGATCCTAAATACGCAAACCTGCCAGGAATTGTAAGTGGCTAACGCTAGCAGACAGATTAGCTCAGGTTGCTATTTTGTCTGCGCTAGGCGGTGACAGCTTTGTTTGCTAACGTTTGCCCCTGTTGTTTACTCCGTCGTCTGCTTGTTTGTTTGTATTTACTACACAACTAGCGTTAATAATCGTGTGTTCTTAGTTGCTCACGTCTCAGCTAGTGTTTGTATCCTGTGAGATACCGGAGAGTAGAGCTCAGCAAGTACGTGTTGTGTTGAATGGGCCGGGGCGTTGGCCAGGCTAATGGCAATAAACTGTGATCTCATTGTGTGAAATAAATCGTTTCACTTGTTGTTTTTAATAGGCCTTTAACGAGCCGGACGTGTACGAGACCGGTGACCTTCCAGAAGATGACCAGGCCCAGTTTGAGTCGGTAAGTTTTGTTCTCTGGATGTGTTTGCAGACTGTCAGCTCGGGTCGCTGCAGCTAAGTGAACGCAACTGAGCTGAAAACTGTTTCCACTTAACTTATATAACAGTAGTTTCTTCCTTGTGATCCGTGTGCGTTATCCCTGCAACGATTAGACAGCTAACCACGCAGTTACTCGGCTTACAGACGTACATAGCAAAAGAGTAATCTCCCCTGGTGTTAATTACTAAGATGTTGTGTGTGTGAAGTTTAAATTAAACTGTGATTTTGTGCTGTCTTTACTAACTCTGTAGTGCAATGTGTGCTCTCCTTTTGTCTCATACAAACGTTGTAAGATGAGATCTATAACCACCTCTCGACCTCTTCTAATTTACGTGAAAAGCTCATTCATTAGTTTCCAAGAATGATGTATGTTTCGTTATATTTGATTCAAAAGGTCAAGCTGCGCTGTTCAGATTACTGTTTAACTACATGTATTGTCCATACTAGTATATCTGCCTATTTGTGCATGGAGAGAAGTAAAGGAAGACAATATGAAATATATCAAATTCCCCCTATTTTGTTTCATATCTGTGTATATCCTTACTGTCATCTAACTGCAGTGTGAAGCAGTCAGCTAGAGTTACAGTAGTTGCATTGCTAAAATACAGTCGTATTGGTAAAAACTTTGTAAACACTTGACAGATGCTGGCCTGACGTTGCTTTTAAACATGTCTGGGCTGTTTGCTGACCAGCTGAGTGAATCCTAATTGGCATTTTCCCTTCCATGTTTCCACGTTCGTTCTTTCCATACCCTTGCCCTTGTTTTGACTCCTCCCCACCCCTCCTGGGACTCTAGTTTGTACAAGTAAGACTGGCTCCGTTTTACTCTCAGTGAGCTTAATGCCATGCTTTTTATGCATGTCTTTTAATCTCATATCCACTTTTCCTACCTCTATTGATTGGGATGAAATGAGAAATGGATCGATGGAGTGACCCTTTTTTGTGCTCTGTAATGAATCATTTTTTGATTGTTTTGAAGTGCAAGGGATTGATTCTTTTCCTCCTGTTTGTGTTGCTCATGTAAACCATTTTAAGGGAATAATGATGTTGATGGTTCTTCAGCAGCACTTTAATTCACTCTTTCACTGGGTCATGCTTTGACAAGGCAGTGAATGCTGAAGTGTGAGTGTGTGTGTGTGTGTGAGTGTGAAGCACTGACAGGAGAAAGAAAAGTGTTTGTTTATTGCCTTTCGATATTTCCCTTTTTAACCTGTCATCATGTTCTAACAGTTGCTTCTTGGCTAACCACACTATTCTCACTAACTGGACATTTTAAAGGCTCCTATACACTGTGCAAAAACAGGTTCATTGCATTGTCACACTTTGCCAGATGGATATAGTATAATGAAATATTGTGCTGGACTATTACGTCATCAGCCTTGACTGAATCCCTAGTAAATCATACGCGCCATTATTAGAATAAATAAAACACGCAAGCAGAAACACGGCATCAAGTCACACAGTTCATCTTTGGTGCTTATATGTTCCACCACATGTTCTTCTTTGCCGGAGTTGTACAGACTCTTCTTGTTTTGTACCAAGTGTATCCTACGTCATTCAGTGTAAGGATGGATTGAGTTAGTATCTGTGCCAATACTGACCTCATTAAGTGGATTGGGAATTGGCCAAATGTGACTGATCCACGTTGAGACGACAGATGAGTTTCTTTGTCTCGACACTATAAAATTCAATGTTCTTGTGTTTCGCAGTGAGATCTAACCACCATCTTGGGTTGATGACCAAAGATATCAATACATAGTCACACAGTGTATAGGGACCTTAACTTGGACATACTGCATTAACCGCTGTAGTTTTATCTACCAGATTCATTGAGGTTGAACTGCATGTTATAAAGAAATAACTCTCCCCGACTGAATGATTTATGATAGATGTCAAAAAAAACAAAAAACAGAATGTACTTAAAGGTTTTATAGTAAGTTTATTGACTTATTTCAGACACCCTTCAGCCAACTGTTACTGTAAAACACCAATCTTCTGCATCCATAGCATAATGTTGTGAGACCTATAATGCTTTCGAGGAGAGTGTATGGTAGCACTGCATTATAAAGTACAGTATGGTATCAACGGAGAAAGTAACTTGTTGGCGTTAATGTACCATCTTAACCATCCTGAATCGGGGAAGAGAGAAAGAACTGGAGACATCATATGCAGTCTGAACAGTGTGTCTCCAGGGTTTTTTAGCAGCAACTCTCAGAACACTGCTTTCTTTCTTATCTTTCCCCGACCCTGGCC